GATATCCGAAATTAAATATCGAAAATCGATATATCGATTTTTTTTGCGCCCGAAGCAATTAAAGGGCTACCCTATACGTAGGGAGGCGGAAAATGCATTACGCATACCACGATAGCCGGTCTATCGTGGTTATGAGGGGCTCACTGTCCTACCGGGGACCCTTAGTGATACCCTCTAAAAACCGCCTTTGGGGACAGGCAGCCGGCTGATTAAGCTGTATTGTGCCTTATCATGAGCGACCCTCTTTTGGGAAAAGAGGGCGCAGGCAGAGCCGCTGAGGGAGTGCCTACGAAGGCAAATTAATGTTAGTTAATGCAATAATTTAGTTTAATTAGAGTTGGCCTGAGCCGCCAGGAGAAGTTCAGGTCGTTTGACAGTTTAATAGGCGGGTCCGAGAGAGAGTTTCTCGGCCTGCGGACACGACAGCGAGAGGGGGGTGGGGCTGCATAAGAAGCTGCCTCACGAATTAAATGGTTTGGGTGCGACTCTGAGGCTTTGAAGAAGTTCTCAGAGAGTTTTTTAAAAAATTGTTGAATTGTTGGGAGCTCTAAGTCCCGATGAAGGTCGGCATTACGGACGTACCAAGGTGCGTTCGCAGCTCGACGACAGAAGAGGTTCTGAACTATTTGGAGTTCATTTAAAATATTAGGGTTTGCGTGGGCAAAGACGGGGCCCGCGTAGTACATGACTGGTCGTATACAGACCTTGTAAAGGGTACGCTTGTTTCGAGGGGACATTTTACTGTGTCGGCCCAACATACTGTTGAGCCTACTCAGATAAAACCGTGTGTGTGTGTGTGAAAAAGTGAAGTGAGCCCTGTGTCTAGAGTGACACCTAAATATTTGGCGGACGTATGCCAGGGGACAGGGGTCCCTAGCATACGTATTGGTGGAGTGTTTTTGAGACGGCGTCGTTTATAATCGAAGTGAACGGCGGAGCTCTTCTCCGGGTTCACATCGATGCGCCATTTTTTGAACCAAGCTCCTAGGTCATCAACTGACTTTTGGATTTTGTTTCGTATGAAGGGTAGTGAGACACCTTTGCAGTAGATGGCAGTGTCGTCTGCGAAGAGAGAGAGTTGAACACCTTTCGACGGGATGGGAATGTCGTTGGTGAATAGGATGTACAGCAGAGGAGCAAGTACTGAGCCCTGAGGGACACCAGCCTTGATAGTTCGCTGTGAAGAAAGCGTGCCTTCGTGTCTAAAACGAAAGGTACGATGTTTTAAATAGGAGGCCACGAGACGAACTAGACGATCGGGGAGACCTATTTTGTAGAGCTTGTAGATGAGGCCTGTGTGCCAGACTCTATTGAAAGCTTTAGCTATATCGAAAAAGACCGCGATGGTCTTATGACGACGAGGGTAGAAACCGCTGAGGATATATTCCACAATGCGGTGAACTTGTTGGGGACATGAGTGTTTGGCTCGGAAACCGAATTGATGGGGAATGATAAGAGGGTCGCCGTCTGTGGGAAACAGATAGCGCCTCATACGCGTTTGGATGACTCTTTCGAAGAGCCTGCCCATTGCCTTGAGGAGGCTAATGGGGCGATGGCTGGAGGGGGAGGTTGAGAGGCTTGCCTGGCTTGGGAATTCCAATCACAGTAGCCTCTTTCCACGTAGTGGGGAAATAACTGAGGTTGAAGCAGGCGTTGAAGATAATAGATAAAAAAGGTTAACACCTGCTCAGGAAAGTGTTTTAGGGATTGGTTGGAGATGCCATCCGCGCCGGGAGCCTTTTTGGGCTTAAGTCCTTTGATGAGGGATGAAATCTCATAATTGGACACAGAGATAGGTTCGGAGGCCGTAGGGGGTGAGTTCCGGCGGCGGACCTCATCCTCCACTGCCTGGACGTGAGAGGGGTCGACGGGTTGAGAACTAGTAGAGCATTGAGCAACAATGCTATCTGCAAAGCACTCAGCCTTTTCCTCGTCCTCGAAGGCAACCATGCCGTCGGGACGGGAGAGAGGGGGAGGTGGGTGATAGCGTCTATGCGGAGGGCTCTAGCCATCTGATAGTACGCTGTGTGAGATGGAGAGATGTTCTCCATGAGCTTACTCTTTTCGAGGTCTCGAAATTCAGAGAGGCGGAAGCGGAGTTCTCGTTGAAGACGATTGGCCGCGCGCCTATATTCGGGGGTTCGATATATCGAAAAAACATCGCCGATATATATGGAAATATATTATCTGAAAAAATATCGATATTTTTATATATCGATTTTTTTACCTACGCGGCGTGGGTCACGCCTAGACCCTAGATACTAGACTAGATAGATTCTAATCATTTTCATTACTCTCTCTCAGTGTTGCCATATATACAGATTTCCCCGTATTTATACAGATTTTCGGTGTGTGATACAGATTAGCACTGGGTACAGATTTTTATACAGAGTTTTCTAACTATATTGATTGGATTACCATAATATTCAACTTAAAATAGAATGAAGCAAAATAAGTGACTAGATACCGCGTTGCACACATTCATGATTCTATTCTTTATGATTAATTTATTTTTTCACAACGTAATTACATGTGTACTACAAAATATGTATACAAGGTGTAAGTGTAAATACCGTTGTCACTAAAACCACAGTTGGCATATTCCGATTTAAAAAAACATTTTCTTTCGTAAAATTTAAGAGTTTCTGTCCGAAACCGTCCGTAAATTCATGGATACCCTATGCGCCCGGGTGACGTAATCACTGTAAAGATCACCGCCCGCGCTAGCTACCTACACTATATTCCAATAAAAACACAATAGGTACACATAACCTGTTATGTAACTTTTCCTTCATACTTTCATTCTGGCTTAGGACAGGCAAAATTGGGGAATTAAGGAAAAATTGAGATTTTACTAAAAAAAATGTTGTTATTTTTCATTGAATTTACGTTCTGTAAGTGAAATCAAACCACTGGTTTCAAAGATAACGGTGTTTACACTAACGCCCTGTGTATAAAATATGTATGACTGAAAATAATAAAGTAATTATATATGTTAATTTGGCAAATGTTTGAGTTTTAATATGTTGTTTGCTTAAATTAACGTTTTAAATTTTGCTATATAAAAAAAATAGTGTATAGTGTGTATTTTATACGTGGTAGAGCCACGTTGCAGCTATATTGTGGTTGCAGCACTGCAACGATAATAGCTGACACTCGACCGGGGAAGGACCACGCTCTCACAGAATACCAGCTTAATAATGCTGTGTTTCGTATGGTGAAAGTAGAAATCCGGAGACCCTTTTTACCGGAAATGAGGCATCCCCTCTTGGTCCTCAGGCGTGACAACGTATCTGCGTTTTAATTCTTAAGCGAGGATAAATGTAGATGTCTATGGGCCACAGCATCCACTTACTATCGGTGGACTGTGGTGTGGTGACTGTGCTCGTTTGTCACCCTTATTCTATAAAAAATATTTTTATTTAATAACGATAATCAAACCTTATCTGCTTATCACGTTAGTAGTTATTCCTTGTTTTTCAAAAAAAAAGCAATGATGATGTTGATGATCAATTATTGTATTTTTTTTATTAGATTATCAACAGATTTTAAGTTTAAATAGCATACAGATTTAATACAGATTTTAGCAGTGTCTAATACAGATAAAAGGTTCAAGACATCTGGCAACACTGCTCTCTCTAGTATAAATACAGTAATCCACAGTAATCTACGCATTAGGGATGCTCGATGTTGCAGAAACATCGATGATGACATCGATGTTGATATCGATAGCTTAACATCGATGTTCGATGTTTATCGTACTTAAAACATCGATGTTGGCCATTATCGATGTTATTGCACATGTACCTACTACCTACCTAATTAGTAGGTTAAAATTAGATAAACAAAAAAATTATAGTGTAGTTTATAGTTTATTATTAAAGAAATTTATAAAACATTTAGTTCTAAATAGTAATTTAAAAAATGGGCAAAACTTAACAAATGTTTAGTTCATTTGTTATATTTTTTGCCGATAATGATTAATGTTATTATTTTGATCTTCAAATGTTCCTATACAACCAAAAATCTACGAAAAAATTTACTATGAGACCTAATTAATAATTTAGACGTATGTTCTATATTTACCACTCCTATCACGAAATAAAAAAAATCTGATTATAGAGGGCGAATTAGCAAACGTCACAAAAACAAAATATTAGACTTTTCCATCACCTTTGTTCACTATTTTTTCTCAGACAGCCCAAACAATAAGTATCCACAGCCGTTTATAAAATGCACTGTAAAATGCACTATGCAGTGAAATTTTCTATGCTCATAATCGCCCAGTGATTTATTTTCATAAAGTACAAGCGAAAAATAAACTCATTAGCTCAAAAAACAGCTAAATATAATTGGATTGTGTATATTCATACTGTTTCAAAATTATGTGTGTATAGACAGCAAGAGAAAAAACATTATTTTTATATCAATTTATGTAGAATAGTTATTAGGTGACAATGATACCACAGAATAACAAAGCGAAAGCAGTGACATTACGGTTCACACTTGAGAGGGAGTTTGACACAACATAATTATATTTTTCAGGTGATTGATGCCTTTAAGAATCCTAAATTATTTAAAATTTTAAACCTTAAATAGGAGATGAAATATTTAGTTGATATTGATTTCGCGGGTTCGCATTGTTCACAAGTTTTTATTAATCAATTATTGGCTCATTGACATCGATGTTTCGATGTTTGAGATGTTGTATCATCGATGTTACGATGTTTAGCATGTGGCAACATCGATGTTAAAACATCGATGTTTTAATTTCTAACATCGATGATCATCGAACATCGATGATCATCGAACATCCCTACTATGCATTACTCTCTAAACTAAACTTACGAGATACTTTGGTGGAATTATTTTACAGAAATAAATTTACTAAAAGGAAATATTTCTACTATTAATTATAATGAACATTCAGAAGTGTGAGTGTAAAGAAAATGGTCCACCCAACGCCAGGCGATGTTGCACCTGTCCAATAAACACAAAAAATGGTCCTTGGTAATTTTAAAGTTCCTGCTTTGCCTCTCAATCGGGCTCAGTACAATGCTAAGAGTAACGAGCAAGAACCAACTAAACCTGAACTTAAGAAAGATAACAAGAAAAAGCACGGTCGCTGTCTGATTTTGATTTGGGAAGATCTCATGGAAAGGGTAAATTTGGTAATGTGCACTTATCCCGTGAAAAAGTCTCATTATGTCGTTGCTTTAAAAATACTGTTTAAAAGTCAAATCCTGGATTCGGAAATGGAACATCAAGTACGTAGCGAAGTGGAAATTCAGTGTCGATTACGCCATCTAAATATTCTACGAATGTATGGTTATTTTCATGACGAGAAGATTTATTTGGGTTTGGAATACGCAAAGCATGGTGCCTTGTATAAGCTTTTCGAAGAGCACGAGAGATTTGACGAGGAAACCGCAGCCATCTATGTCAGAAAGAACAAAAGCTTTAATGTATTGTTACTCGAAAAAAGTTATCCATTGTGACATCAAACCCGAAAACTTTCTAATCGGACAATTATGAACTTAAAATTACTGACTTTTGCTGGTCAGTGCACTCACTATCTTCAAGGCGCATGACTTCATGTGGTACTTTTGATTACTTGTCACCTGAGATGATAGATGGGAAACCTCACAATGGAGAAGATAACCAAATTTTGTTTTATATGCCAAAAAATTACGAGAATAACTGTGTTTAATTTTTTTCTATCTTCAAAACTGACCGAGATATAATGGCGCAAAGTTAACATTTTCGGTCTAAGCCGCGAGCCGAGCGCGACATCGTCGATGACGTCACTACTTCCATCTTCGTGCGAGCGACCCGACGCGCACTTAGAAAATCAAAACATTTACTCGAATGTGCCCGTCGCGCGCGGATCTACTTGCTCTCTATTTTTAACAAGAAACATTATAGAACATGACACCATCTATTAAATATTGTGCTGTGCCTCAATGTAAAAATACGGCCACAAAAACACCAGAAAAGTTGTTTTTTAATGTGCCTAGAAACCCTACCATCAGAAAAAAATGGACAAATGCTATGAAGAGAACACATCCTTTAGGTCCAAAGACGGTAGCATATTGTTGTGAGGATCATTTTGATGTAAGTATTCAAATAATAATAACCTTCACATGATAGCTCTTGGTTAGTGCTAGTAAATGCTTTCTATTAGGCATGTAGGTACCTACTCAAGTCACAGTTTAAGTGTTAGTTACTTAAACTATTCATTGAACCTTTCCACGCTTAATGATTATTATAATTTCAAGAAGAAACAATACCTAATACTTACATATTTAACTAAAACTACTTCAGTGTAAATAAACATCCAAACTTGGGTAAAGTACCTATGTAATGTAGATAAGTCAATGACCTGTTGTGATTTCGTAAGTTTAGATATCTACCTATGTTTGCAGCAAATTTTAAAATGTTTTTAATGCATATAAAGGTTAAAATATGGAATATGTTAACAAACGTTTTTATATTTTTACGATATTTCGAGCAAAAACTAAACACATCGCAAATGTGTTCAACCTTCCCACTTTGCGGGCCGCAAATAATAGAAGAAGTTTGATTATGAAGTGGAGCACTTAATTTTTTTTGTGTTGTCCTATTTTTATGTATTACATAGTTGGTACATGTTTTAAATATTGATGGAATACGAATTACGAGGTTCCTTAATTTTTTATAGACTAAATAAGTTTGTATTTTGTTCTAGGTCGAAAATGATATGGAAAACTATGTGAAGTACAAACTAGTTGGTGGTCCCCTCAAACTTAAAAAAGATGTTTTGCCTCACAAGTTTGCTTGTCAAAATCAGTGTACAGAAAAACCACAAAGATCTTTACTATCAAAACTAAATTCCAAACCTAGGTCAGAAACAGTTGCACATGCGATTGCCACTACTTCACAAGAAATCGAGCATATATATATTGTCGATCCTGTTACTACTCTAGATGATAATATTGACATTGATCCCTTGTCAGAAGAATATATAACTAACAACACTGATACCCCCGCTACACAAAAAAAAATTCAAGTACACCTAAAAAACAATGTTTCACAATAAAAGTACAGAAACCAAAGATAAATGTTCGGCCAGTACGAGAGATAAGAAACTTCTTCAATTTGATGTAGTAAGTTCTTCAAGCTATGAAGAAAAATCTTCACTTTCTAGAGAAACTTGCAAACTTGCCGCTTGTGCCGGCCGGCCGCATGGAATCAATGACGTCACGCGCTACTTGCGGGCACGGGCGAAATTTTAAAAATGTACGTAAAATTTCCACGCTTATAACTTCGGTAATAGTGCACCGATCAATGTGAAATAAAAACTAGAATTATGTGTTTGGTCTAGACTTTTTACCTACGTACTTAAAAGTCTATTACTATTACCTTGTTATCTTCTCCATTATGTAGTTGATATTTAGAGTCTTGGAGTACTGTGTTATGAGCTACTGGTAGGTTTACTGCCATTTGAAGCAAAAGAACGTCATCAAATATAGAAAAACTAGATATGTGATCATTAAACATCCAGCTTTTATATCTTAAAAGGCAAAGGATTTAATTGGTAAGCTTCTAGTTATAAACCCAGAGCAAAGGTTACCATTGATACAAGTTTTGCAGCATCATTGGATTTTAGAAAATGCCCCAGAAGGAGCTAGGCCACTATTTTGTACCATGGTACAAAAATAACTATGAACTTGAAATATTAATAACTTATGAATCATCCAAAGGTGTAAGCCAACACTTTAATAATAACATTTTGTTTTTTATGCTGAAATTTTAATAGATAGTAGTAGATTTTATGTGAAGTTTAATAGACAGATAAATTTTGATTGACAATTTAAATAATATATGTATTTGTCTATGTATTTCCATTACCTAGGTGTTTAATTTTACCTCATAATATTATAGCAAACGTATTTAAATTATTCACTTGTTATAAAATTAAGCCAAAACAGTAATTTATGTTATAAAAATCTTAGACTGCTAACAAACTGAGAGGCAAATGATTGGTAAAAATAGAAAATTTTAGGGTCAATGCACAACTGCTTTCTTGCTAAGAAGCCTCAAGACACATAAGGCTGTAACATAGAAGGCTTGTATTAGGGATATATAAAAGCACATTATGGGTTTGCCATTAACTACTCATTACTGTTAAATGGATTAGTTTTAGAATGTAATCTGTTTACTTTAATGCACATAAATTATTTTGTATAAAACATGTGAGAAGGCTTAATTAGATATTGTACTGTTTATGGGTAACCAGCTTTTTTAATTTTAACAATTTAAAATCCTGATGTTTCTGGCTTTACAGCAACCATGGTCACAGGGAGCACTTATTTTGCTAACAAAAGTTAAAAGTTAATATATTTGTAGTAATATTATATACTCTATGATTTTCTTGTATGCTGCCTCTAAAAACCATTTTAAAAATAGGAGGCATTTGTCCAGTACCACAATGTATATAGATCATGCTCCTTAGTTTTAGTACTGTAGTTGTGTATTTACATTTATTGATTTCTTATACAAATAAAAAACTTAACAAAAAAAAGACGAGAAGGATCCGTTATGGTTTTTTTTTTTTTTTAAAAAAAAAAAAAAAAAATTTTAACTTAAAATAATTTTTCGAACTCAACTTTTAAAATGAATAGTTAATTGTCTGCACTGAATGATACTTATCATGTACTGGTTGAATTTTATAGTTCTATTCATTTTAGAAATACTTTGTTCCATATTAGTGATTGTCAGCATACATCAATGTTATTAAGTCCTATTTATTTAATGTTGAACCCTAACAACAAGGAAAGATATGTGCTGCGTTTATCATATTGACACATGTCAAAAAGACACTTATGCACACTTCTTTATTCTATAAAAGTGCTTTACTAAACTCACACATGTGCCTTAAACCTTGTTGGTTGCAAATAATTTTAGATAAATATGTATGTGTAAGTGCATTCTTACTAAAAGTTTAGAATGATTTCAGTGTTCCTGAAATTATGCAGTACTGAGGTGTATACATATTATATTTTATTGATTTTGATTAGTATAAAATAATCTAATCTATAAAAGCTCAAATCCGAGCTTATCAATTGTTATTTGCACTTATTGCCATAAATAAGCGTTTTCTTAGGTGACTGGCTGAGATATATAGACCTTACTTTGATTTTGCTCAGATCTTACTTTCGAGCTGATACAATGTCGGTATTTATAGAGCTAACTTCGAAGTCGTGCTGAGTGGGCGCTTAGCAAAGCCTAAGTCAATAAAATCAACAACTTATATCCAATCCTTACATATGACACGTAGAAAATTTTTCTTATACTTTTAAAGCATCGGCATAATGAGACCTTTTTTCACGGGCTAAGTACACATTACAAAATTTACCTTTTCCAAGAGGTCTTCCCAAATAAAAGAGACAGCGACCATGCCTTCTTGTCATCTTTCTTAAGTTCCGGTTTTTTTTTTGCTTCTTTCTTGTTACTTGTAGTACTGTACTGAGGCCAATTGTAAGGTAAAGCAGGAATTTTAAAATTACCAGGGCCTATTTTTTCAGTTTGTTGGACAGGTGCAATATCGCCCGGCGTTGGGTGGACGATTTTCTTCACACTTACACATCTGAATGTTCATTATAATTAATAGTAGTAATATTTCCTTTAAATAAATTAATTAGTGTAAAATAATACCATTAAATTCTCTCGTAAGTTTACAAGAGTTTTGATTTGAATCTCCCTTTTACCAATGATTTGATTAACATATTTTCTGTTTATTTTACATCTTTATAGAAACTTAAATAATAATTAAAATTACCTATAATATTAACAATTAATACTAGTTATACACAATATAAAAAAAAGAAACTATAATATTAAAAAACTAAGACTAAACATTTAAATAGTCAAGTCTTGCTCCCCGTGGTATAGTGCCATGAACGCTGGCTGCGTTTCCTCGCTGAATAGCTATACTTGTAGGGTGGAGTGCACTTGTATGGGATATTTTTTTTGTGGAATATTGAAGTGGCGGATGTCGCAAAAGGTGCTCTGACATTAACATAACCCTCTCGTATAATATCATTTATACAAAATATAATTAGAAGTACTGCCGCATAACTCGCAAAGTTTTCGAAATGTGCGAAAAAAAGGTATACTTTCTTGGCATGTAAAATGGTTTTAAATAAATTGTTTTTCTTAAAAATGACTTTATTCACATATGAACAAGTGCCACTAGCCACTATGATATAAATTGCAAAAAAGTTACACAGTGTTGCCTATGGCGTCATATTTTTGATCTACCAATCGCGCATTGTTTTACCATATAAGGTAAAACAATTACTTTATATGGTAAAAAAATAAAACTCATTGGCCGAGCGTTAGCGGTGGGTACTAGCGGCTTTTTTTGAGTAACGAAACGAAACTATCTATCGAATATCAATAGCGGCTTTTGAAACACTCTATTTTAATAGAGGGTTTTGAAACACTCTATTTTAAT